ATTTTGCTTAGTTTTATTGGCTTGCCATTTGTTTGATTAATTTGATTAAAAATATATTGTTTAACTGTAACCTCGATGAAACACGCGCAAGATGAACACAAGACAGTGATGTGTCGACTACTTATGACCTTGGTGACATCGCAAGTGTATTACTGAGTGCTACTGATGCGAAGCTGTTAATAGGATCTGACGCCATATCTATAAATTTTAAAATATTTTGAAAAATAGCAAGCATTGTGAATTGCAAGATAAAACTTCAGGTACTGTTTGACATCCCCAACCATTGAAGGTTTATTAATAAAATATTACTTATATTAAGAAAGCTTTCTAATGGTAGTCATAATTAATATTTTGAGGAAGAAAATTTGTTTTTTTTGAAAATAACGCTTCTATTTTCTTCTCTAGTTTTTAGAGGGTAGAAAAAGTCAGTTATAGAATAAGAAAAATGAAGGGTCAGTTTTCATGTACAATTCGAAAAACATATTGTTTTTGTCGAGTAAAATAGAGGTCGATTCTTACCATCATGATAAATAGCACGACTGATTTCTTCATCGATGTTACTTTTCTTATGCACACGGTCAGTTTATTGATGAACAAGCTTGCCAAGCTTGAGATAAACCAGAATGGAATGATTTATGTGTGAATTTTCGTCACGAGAATTTACTAACACGTTTTTACCGTTACCGCTCATCTCTAATTTTGGCGTATTGATAAAGATATATTATCGCTATTGATGGATACAAGACAATCATTCTCATATTTGCTTCAAAAACAATCATATCCAAATTTATCTAATCGACAAAATTTTGAAATAATTCCACTTCAAACGTCATTGTTAATAACTAGAGTGCCTACTCACCTTACAAAAAAATGATATTTTAGATGATGCAGGAATTCATTACCTATCAATTAGCAATGCACTTATATAATTACCGTCACAAGGCGCCCGTGCATGTAATGTTAGATTAGATTTTACTAATAGTGATGAATATGAAAAATATCGTATATTAGGTAAAATTAGTATTAATCATATGGATATAAAAGTTAAACAATACTTACATGGTGAAAAAAAACCGTGAAATCCACAGCCCTCGAAAGCAAACCGTGTAGAAGAACCATGAAGTATAAAACTACATTACGAAAACCGTAAAATGCAAAAGTATAAACGAAAAATTATGGAAGTAAAGTTAAAACCATAGGAACAAGACCGTCCACTTTCGAACCGTAGAAGAAAAATCCTAAAATAAAACCGTCAGTTTAAGAACTATATAATTAAAACCATAAAAAATATGGCAAAGATCAAAACTGTAGAAATAAAACCATGAACTGATTGTTTGCCAAAGGAAAACAATGAAAATAAAAGCGTCAAGTAGAGTGTCAAGGGGCCTTGAGAGAAAAACCGTGAAAGCGTTTTCATGCTTTTTAGTTGAGATTTTTATCGTAGCTTCAAAAATCATTAAAACATGTGCAGTTACAGTCGTTGGCACGTCAAAAAGCCTTCCTAATCAACTAACATAAGTTTAATAGAGCGAGTCTTGGGCTTTTCAACAAATCTATCTCACACTCACGATTATTTAATAACGAGCATAGCCGGGCAGATAAGAGAGTAAAAATGGTACCTGAGATAGGGAGCGGAAGACGTCTTCCAGCGCACGTTCTGCAAAATATGCCTGCTTTGTGAACTTTCTCGTTTTACAAATTCTTTTCTTTGAAGCTGCGATTATCTTGAAATTGTTCTGATGCCTATAGTCTTAGAAGGTAGAGGGGAAGGGTATAGTGAATATCTTCTCCTAATCATACGTTTCTAGACGCTCGTCATAGAATACACTCGATGATATCATACCATATATGAGCACACTTTTATAGTTAGCGTTTCTCTTTTATATCTCAAATACATGTATGATAGCGAGGAGCTTTACAAATTCAACATCGACAGCTTTTCGTAAGGTGTTGAAGTTTTTTCACAAATCTACCCGAGAACATGATACGTATACAGTGCGAAGGCATACTTCTGTAAGTTCCTTAGTTCAGTGGTTTGTGTCTTGGTCTCATAATTCATACTCGCCAAGCGTCCCATGTTCGATTCCTGGAGGAGCTGTTATTTTTTCCTTCCCTTTCAAAGTAGACGGTTTTACTTGCATAGTTTTACCGGGACGGTTTTTCTAACAGTTTTAAAATCGTCAAGGCAAAACTGTCATATTGGAACCATAGGAAACAAAAGCATGAACAACTAAAACCGTGAAAAAACACCATGCCAAACTGACTGCGAGAAACCGCGTATAAAAACCGTCAGGAGTTTCACGTTTTTTCTCTTTCCGTGTAGCTATACCAAAAGTTTTATTTTGCAATAAATGTCAAGGTTACGGGCATTTCGGAAATAAATGTAGATCAAATGTGAACTTATGTAAAGAACGTAGCATTGATATAACAAACAGCAATAATCACACATGCAATGGGCCAAAATATAAAAACTGCGGAAACGACCGACCATTACTATTTCGATAATTGTTGTCCTACATTAAATGAATACAAACACACATTACTATCAACATTAATAGCAAAAAATATGATTAATAATCAATTTCATATTCCTCGTGAATTCCGTGAACGAACTGATCTACAGTTTAGAAATCATAATAACATTAATAAAAATCATACAACAGTCTCATATGCATCAATAGTTTAAAAAAATAATACTCCTCAACAATTGCTCGAAAATGTTAATGATAACAATGATAATCAAATGAACAACGATAAGAACAGGATTAACGAAATTTCGAGTATTAACAATAACTTTACTCAACAATTATTAATTATACAAAATGAACATGCAAAACAAATGTTAGAATTGCATGAACGTATGAATCGTATACAGGCATATGGACAATGTACGCAAATGCATTTAAACTCATTAACACAATTACTTAAATCCGTCATCGTGCCAACAGTAAGTCATACAACTCACAGTTTTACTAATTTATTCACAGCATTAAATACATATGATTATACAGAATTGAATAAATAGTTAGAAACAATTAATCTTATACCAAAAATTGTGTCTGATGATTTATTAAGTACTTGTATAGTCAGCGCACCAGGTTCGAGTCTCGTTTTGAATTGTATCGCAAATGTTATAAATAATAAAATACCTTCTTGTTTACTTTAACCCGAGTATTGACTCGACATCGATGGCTTCAGTTTCTACCGTCATTTCTTCCCTTTCTAATTTTAATCAAAAATTGTTATTATTCTTTAGGAGACGAATGGAACTTTAAAAGTACAATTTTCACGTTAACAAACGTTGGAGAAACTGTCAAATCAGCCAGAGACATTTACCTAAACGGTTTTCTATCGTTCTATATAATGTTGAAGGTTTGTTGTCACGTCTTCCTGAAGTTCAAGATCTAGTCGATACAAATTTGTCCATCAGTATGTGTCTTAGTGAAAACAGGTGATATTTCTTCAAGTTTGTCCTGGTTGCCAGTCGTCAGATGTCGCGTTTTGCAAAAAATTTAATTGAAGAATGTGAACTATATGTAGGTTAGTAGATCAACCAACATCGAAATGTTCAAAAAACGTCATCGATTTAATTAGCACTTCTGTGCCTTTACCCGAAGTATCCGTATTGTTGTATGATACTAGTGACCACTGACCCATGTTATTTACTAGTCCGTTGTAAAAGTCATCTTCTTTCTCCTTTAAAGATGTACACTGGAACGTTTTTAATTTATTTATGAAGTTGTTATATCAATATTTTTTACACCTTGTGTATCATCTACTGGCAGAAGACGACTTTACATCTCTGTTTTTTTCGTTTCTTGGGGCGTTGCTTATTCGCATTAAACGTTATATCCCAGTTAATCGTTATCGCCGCTCTCTAGTGTCTTGGATTAGGAATGAAATCAAGTAGTTAACTTACATAAGTTACGAAATAAGTATTATCGTGTTTATGCGTCCATCTCATACAAACAATATGTTAATTATAGTAATTTTATTAATAGTATTATTCAACAACACCGTTGAATCAATGGCATAGTTTTCCAGACAAATGGTTTTCATCGGTAGATATTAAACATTTTTGGAGGTTTTCAGCTAGGCGCTTCCAGTCTCAATCTCCAACATTAAAAGGTTTAACAATTTAAAATAATTCAGTCTCGAACTCAGCGGCTGTTTTAAGTTCCCTATTTGTACACTACGGAAATCATTTTCGTTTCCCAGTTGAAAAAGTAGCACCGTTCAATCAAACGTTTTAATTAAATCGTTACTAATCTACTATTCAGCACTGTTTTCAGAATTATTTGATCGTCTTTTTTCACTAAATAGCTTTCTAGAGTGTGTAAAAATTGTTCGTTTATGTACACCTTCCAAAAATGGTCACTATCTATTGTTATCTGAACTTCGTCCTATTCCACTGTTGAATTCTATCGGAAAATTATACGAACATATTTTCTATAACCATCTTCAGAAATGGATATTGGACTCCAATATTATTCCAGACTGTCAAACAGACTTTCACCCACAATTAGGCCTTCAAACTCGAGTATTACCATTAATAGAACAAATTAAATCAGCTCTAGTCACAAATCGGTCAGGATTGGCCTATTTATAAATTTTGTTTCTGTTTTCGATCAAATCTGATACCATTTACTGACTCTCCAGAGACCTATTCCATGAACTTTCAAACGCGAAACTAAGTATCTGGGAATGTTCCTGAGCCAGGTCGAGCCAAAAATTACAACAATTGCTGCGTGTGAGGCCGAAAGAGTTAGTTCACATGAAGATAGTTTATATGGTCGTTATCACCAATTGATACATTAATTATTGGTCGCTCTGGAGTAGGTAAATCTTGTCTATTAAAAGCTATAACAAACCATGCTGATATTTGGACATCAGTACAACTAGATCATGCTACACAAAGATTAGAATCATTTACAAAAAAATTAGAAAATTAAGTTTTTATTTTTGGGATACAAAAAGTATTGATTCTTGGTTAAATTCGGATGATGTAATAAGTTTGCTTAAAGAAATTAAAGAACGAAAAATATAACCATTATTTGTTATTTATTGCTCCAGTGGTAACGGTAGAAGAATGAATAGTCATATTGTTAGTCTTATCTTAAATGATTTAACGGGAACCAAGACACCAATTGCATATTTCATTACTAATATCTATAATCACAGTAATGCACAACCACAAGGTCAAATTGATGGTGAACTCAGCATAATGAGAGACGTTTATCCGAATAATTCAATACAGAAAACTAAATATTATTATGAATTCGATGTATTGGCTGATAAAGATGAAAATATTATTCGTGATAGTAAAGATATTTTAATTGACTCACAGCCATACATAAATGATTTAACAAATGCAAAAAAAAACTCGAACAAAAGATTTTTTGAGTTAACGTCATTTATTGCAAATAATCAGAATGCTAATGACTTTGCTGGATTTGTTACTTTAACACTTCACAATCGAGGCTTCTGGGAACAGATATTGGATGATATTATTGCATTGATACATCTTCAATTCATCTCTGTTGAAATGCCCGCTAAATTTTTCGTATATGGTAGCACGCTGGAAACGTTTTGGTCGGCTTTTCACGACAAATGACGCGCCTTCTTTCCCTGATCATATACAGCAAGAAACGAAAGTGACCTTTCCCTTCTTCTTTTCCAGTGTTTAATATAGAATTACATTTACCAGCTGCTACGATAACATATGGTGACCCGAACTGAAATCAAAGAAACAGAAGCACGCTCTTCAGTCAAGTTAAAAAATATCAAGTAAAATCCAACATAAAACTGATTAAAAAACGGCAACACACACAACTGTTCATTAATAAAAAAAGAAACAATACCCCGAGCCATTCGATTACACCACATGCATTCCATCATCGCAGTATTTGAAATACACTAATTCGAAAACCCCTTCGGTTGTAACATGATCACGATACCACAAGGTAAACACCATCCGCATCCACACTAATCACACTTGCCAGTAGGAGGATGAGCAGTCAAAAAACACTTTTCTGTTATCTTTAGGCTTTTCTCATAATATTTCAAAGCACGATCATACTCGCCTTTTCTGGAATAAACAATTGCAATATTATTCAGACTACTAGCAATATATGGATGATCAGCTGGGAAACATGTTTCTCTTATCTTCAAACTTCTCTCATAATATTCCAAAGCACGATCACACTCGCCTTTTCTGGAATAAACTTGACCTATATTATTCAGACTATTAGCAATATTGGGATGATCAGGTGGCAATGACGTTTCTCTTATCTTCAGACTTGTCTCATAATATTCCAAAGCACGATCATACTGGCCTTTTGTAGAATAAACTTGACCTATATTATTCAGACTACCAGCAATATCTGGATGCTCAGCTGGCAAACATGTTGCTCTTATGTTCAGACTCGTCTCATAATATTTCAGAGCACGATCATACTGAGCTTTTCGGAAATAAACTTGACCTATATTATTCAGACTACTAGCAATATCTGGATGATAAAGTGGCAAACATTTTTCCGTTATCTTTAGACCTCTCTTATAGTATCCCAGAGCATGGTCATACTCGCCTTTATCAGAATAAACTTGACCTATATTATTCAGACTACTAGCAATATCTGGATGATTAGGTGGCAAACATTTTGCCATTATCTTCAAACCTCTCTTATAGTATCCCAGAGCACAATCATACTCTCCTTTATCAGAATAAACTTGACCTATATTATTCAGACTACCAGCAATATCTGGATGATCAGGTGACAAACATGTTTCTCGTATCTTCAGACTTTTCTCATAATATTCGAAAGCACGATCATACTGACCTTTCGTATCATAAACACTGCCAATATTGTTCAGTACCCTGGCTTGTTCTTTGACATTTATTTGCGTTGAACTCATCATGATGTCATAGGAACGCTCATACAGGTCTAGCGCTTTAGTGTGTTCGCCTTTGAAGTCATAAGCACGACCAAGGCTAAACTGAATGTGTGCAATATCCTCTTTTCCTGGACTTCGCAGCACATTCTCAAAGTACTTCTGCGATTTGTCGTATTGTCCCATGTCACACAGAAGTGTACCAAACATCACCACAACACTACTTTCTTCTAACTCTTTTCTATTCAATGCAATATAGTCTTGGGCAGTCTCTCTTCCTTTACTCGTCGCTACCATTTCTACAACGGAAACGTTCGACTCTCTTCGGTGAACAGAATGTATCTCGAACGTCGCACCTAAATCAAACAGAACTTCCTCTTCATCAGCGAAATTGCTGAAGTGGGCAATGTCGGCCACCGTAATAGCATCATGTAGCTCACTTAAATCACACTCGATCTCAAACAAAACGCCAACCTCATCTCGATGCTTTGCTGATTCACCCGCAAAATGCAAAGCTACTTCACGAGAACGACTGGTTGAGAGAAAGCCATTGGTCGAAATCAGTTTGCCTTCATTCTCTTTCAACTTCTCAAATTCCTCACTCGATAAATTAACACCACGATAGACTCGGAGTACATTCTTTTCTCGCTGTTTCAGTTTTTCATATTCTTGTGCAAGACATGAACAAAGATCAACGATGAAGAATCGAAACAGGTACAGCTGTTCGATATCTTCTGTTCGAAGAGCTTTGTTGATGAGTTTATAAACAAAGGACTGTTTTGTATACCATCGAATCGCATCATCTCGTTGGTAGGTCTCATCAAAGTCTTGAATAAGTTTCAGTTCTTTCCTGTTATCTCTATAGTATTCTTGACACTTCTGAATCATCTGTTGTTTGCCATGATGATCAGGTGGCATTTGCATGATGAGATCTTTGAACAGCTGGAACCAGAGAAAGGACCCTGATTCTTTGGATAAATCACGAGTCGACTTCTGGTGAGTATAGAAGCTAAATGATTCCGTTCGTTTCTCAACCGTCTTGGCAGTCTGTTTGATTGAGTCGATGAGTTCTTCGTGTGAATGAAAGAGTCCGATTATTTTCGAATATTTGTCTTGTAGATGTATGTATCTGTCTCGACTCATGCAAAAGATGAAAATGGAATCGATTTGAGATAGAGCCTCAATATAAGGAAGAAGATGGACGGCACATATGTCTGGTGTCACAACAAACACTTTTTCATTCTGAATATGTCTGACATGGTCAATACATGAGTCCAACTTTGTGTGGAAAATGACAAAATCATTGACTTCTCTTAGCATTTTCATTGTTCGCTTTGTATCGTCATTTGAATCGATGTTGTTATCAAACCAGATGAGCGTCACACTCTCTTTGTTTTCATCATGCAGCGTTCGCTGAGCAGGAGGAGTTGGTGGTGGTACTGAATGAAGCGAAACGGTAATTGTCGAAGATGTTTGTTGTGTATTTTCATTGCTTTTTGAGTGAGTAAGGGATGGTGTTTCAGAAGTGTTTGATGTTAGTGCTGTTGACTTTATGGTTTGTATATTGTTGGTTGAAGATATTTTGATGGCAATGGAGGGCGGTGACGGGGCGGTTGGTTTTGTCGAAGAGTGCTTCTGTTTATGTACTGTCTGCATGACAATCAAGACAGAAGTGCTGAGAGAGTTGAAAAGTGAGATGAAAGTGATAATCTCTGCTGACTCATTATTTTGCACGCTTTCGTTAACCTTTGCTCATCTTGCTTTAGATTCAAGAATTAAAATCATGTCCCAACTAGAAGTGCATATGCATTCGTCGTTTTTTTCAGTATTGACCAGCTGCTGTGAGTTGTGAATACATACTGTATCAATGACCAAGTGTTTTAAAGAAGAATATGTCACAAGGTAAAACAATGAATAGTAGAAGTAAAAAGTGCATGCGCTTCGTCTTTTGTTCTTATTCCAAAAACAAGTTGTTAAAGAGGAAGAAGTCTGTATGTTGCTTTCTTTACTTTTTTTACTGCCATCAGATGTTATTCGAATTCATGATGTGTTTTAAGAAAGAAAGAAAGACTCTTATCGTTTAAACAGTAGAAGACGTTGATAAGAAACAAGAAAAATATAGCAGTATGATTGTTTGCATCTCATAAACTGACAGAGATTTATCAACTGAGCGTACTGTGTCTACGTTCTCTCTTTTGTGCTCATGTCCATGTGTTAACGATATTGATATATTTTGAATATGGAATATGTTTCTTATTCGCCAACGTGCATACGATAGAACCCAGTGCTTTTGAAACTTCGCTTAAATCTTATTTTGAGTCGAGCACATCCATCACCCTGGCAATATACAGTTGAAGAAACCAACAGAGTTATATTTCTAGTTTTCGAGAAAATCTTATTGAGGATCCAGCAGAATTTGAGAAAGTATTTTAACCATTTTATCACTTCTTGGATGCTGAACTTTAGAACAAACGTCAGATTCCTGATTTAAAGAAAAACTGCATCGAATGACATTTGAATGTTTCTCGAATAAAAATATTTCATCAAAAAGTTTTCGCCTGGGGTCCATCTGGGGCCTTTTTTAGAAAGAAGTTGTTTTCTCCAGAAATATTTTAAATTGATGTGATACAGGTTGCTAAAATGTCAGTGAACACAGATATGCCAAAAATTAAGGTTTTTCGGAGAACATTTGTCAAGTATGTCATTCGATGCAGTTTTTCTCGTAGATCATGAATATGACGAATGAATATAGCAAAAAAATGAAAATTTTCTAAAGTGATCACGTTTGTAGAGCCCGCCTTCCTCTACCTTTTGCATGTAGTACAGAAAAGTGTTTCGTTTCTACGTTTAGAAATAATCCAACTCATGCAAAATGTAGAGAAAGATGAGCTCTACAAACGTGATTACTTTAAAAAGTTTTTATTTCATTGTTGAAATAAAAATTGCGGATGACGAGCAGAACTAGCAGTATTTAGGGTTAAGTAATCCTAGAGCCCAAACCGTAGGTTCTCAATGATCATCAGATCCATTTTCTGACACAGTTTTAACCGCAGATTATAAATATAAGCTTAGTTTTGCAAAAGAATGCTTTTCAAGTCGAAAAACTGGATTTTACGTAAAAGTTTGGCAGTTTGTACCTCTCACGCCAGATAATAAAAATGTCATAACTCTGTTCACAGAAAATATTTGTCTCACATATTCACAGGATTTGTAGCTCAAAATGTCAGGATGTTTTTCTGAAGATTTGGTTTTGCGGGGACTTATGAGCTGAGCTACATCAATCAGAAATGTTTGTCGAGTGGACTGTTTTGGTGAATTTCACCTATACTTCACTATTTGAAAATTCATATATATTGAAATTAGGTATTTTATTAAAAAATAAAGTAACAGGTGAAATATGGTACTGGAAACAAATAACACTGGAATATACGAGATTATTGTGTGATTGAGAATGGCATCAAATATTCAGTTATAACGGACAAACAACAGTAAAATTGTTTCGTGTTCAACAGTATACAATTTATATCTGGATACTACTCACGATCGATTCAAGACGATTTTTATACTTTAAAGCTTTATTTTTACTCTTCTCACGAGGTCATTTTGACCATATGTCTCGCGACTAAAACTTGAGTTAGTTCTTTGAAAAAACGACGAAGCTCTTGCTGAGAAATATCGAGCTACTTTGTTCGAGCATCTTTCTTTTCACAAATAATATTGAACTATGGACAGTTTTGTAGATTATATAGTGCATTTTTTATTAACTATTTCTTTGTTATATATCTACTTTACTTTTATTTTTACTTCGGATTGTAATCATGAAAAAGTCGATACTTGACTTATCCCACCTTTTGCAGTCCTACATAAATAACAGTCCTTATTATTTTTGCGAAAATCTCAAACATGTGTCAGTTCTCTTCCTTATTTTCAGCTGAAAATATTTTCGCCCTACTATCGGAAACATCCAACCAGGTGTTACTTTCTCATAGTGGAAGGCTAATTTTAATTCTGAACAAAATGAAGTATTGCTCATAATTTTAGCAACTGCTTTAAAAAGGTGAGAAAATAACAGATGTTCAAGCAAAAATGGTTTACTATAAAAACCTAATTTTTAGGTTGTCGAATTTATGGCTTAGAAAAACTGAAAAACTATCAGTGGTTCCGCATTTTGTTCAGAATTTTGTGCTCTTTCTAATTATGTAATTTAAAAACTTTTTTGGTAAACTTAAGGTTTCTAGACATCTCCAAAGGTTTTCCAGAGATTCCTATAAGATTTCAAACTTTTGAGAACGGATTCGGACAGTCCGCAGTTGAATACCTATGAAAAGCGCATCTCGTTTTATACTTAAGCCAGAAGCTCGAGAACGGCGTCAAACAATATAAACCCCTAAGATCCTAAGAAGACCTTCGGTGTAGAGCTGAAGGTCCGAGGTAAGACCGTACAATGGACTACATAGGGTGAAAAAATCCCTCTTCCATCACTTGCCTCGGCGGAGAAACAGTATCTTTATTTTTACTCTCCATTCTTTGGGCGCTGAACTTTCCGTCGAGCGGGCTCTAGAAAACCGTCCTGAACTCAGAAAGTAAAAGTCCTAGAGGGCTCAAAATTCGGATGTATAGCTTTTCACACATGCTGAACAAGACAGGACTACTATCCGTCCCAAAATACAAGACCCGTGGGCATTTTTTGAATAACTTTTGATAGGAATGAGATAGAGACCTACAATTTTCGCTGTTCAATAGCCAAGACTTGAGCAGAATTTTCCACAAGCTGAAGCAACTTTTGAAAAAATTCCAGAGACCGGGTTTTCAGAGGATCTTTGAAAAACCAGCTCCGTTCTCAGAAAACTAAGATACAATGTTAGTAATCCTTTTGCATGCGTAGATAGTTCCGACGTTACTCTACAAAATTATGCAAGTCCCGGCTCTCTAACTATCATCGTTCGGGCAGGGCTCGCTTTCCCCGAGCACGTGTCTGTCTCCGAGCAGACATCTCTGGGAATCTCAAAATGCCATGGACTATAGGTAATCGACTACGCTGAGCATAGTAGCAACATTTGTTTTTGTGTAGAAAGTTGTCAGAAACTATTCATACATTCTGTGAGCTTAAGTGGAGCTAGTTTCCCGCTAAATTTGCTCGAACAACGGTATTGTAGCGATACATTCCAACGATGGGACTCAAAATGAAATGAAAACGAAATTTGAAAAAGAGAGAGAGAATTACTTTTTCTCGGAAGAACAAATGATGCTGGACAACTGAATATATCGAAATGTCATTAAAATAAATCCATTGTGCCGCGGCAGAGAAAACAGTAAGAATTTTGAAATGCACCTTTAATTAACAACTTCCTCGATGTAATGAAGAGAAAACGTAGGGAAGCTTTTATTTTCTTCATGCAAAATGAAAATTTATGACCATGTTCAGCTCATCTTTACTTGAAAATAACCAATTGGTTGGTACAGTAGTGAAAAGATTTTGATTTGATTCAAATTTGATTAAATCAAGGTTTTTACAAAAATTTAGTTTTTCGACCCAGTTTAAAATCTGTAACTGAAGATGTCGTCAGAAAAGTCTAGTAACATTATTGACCCTTTGCTAGATATTAGACTTCTTTATTTGAGTTGTATTGATGTGAGCAATCACACAACGCTTCTCGTTTCTCTTATTCTAAATGCGTACAGCAATGATTCACCACCAACACAAATGGTGTCTATTTGCTTTTTTATAGGTATGCGACGTGATTAACCAAAGTTAAAGTTGAATCTAATGT